TCAAATTTCACTTGTTTTGCATCAATCTTGATACAGGGTACTTATTATATGTTGTACTTTGGATTCCTAAAGCTTTTAGTCTACTAACCCATCATCGAAGGGTAGTTTTCCCTATCTGTAAAAAATTATTTTTGGATGGACACTATAATTTACAGTTTTTTACTATGTAAAATCTGAATTTTCTTTAAAATAAAAAACATCTATATTGATTCTGACTTTTCTACATCCAACTCACAGGTTTATCATTACTTTGAGAATAAAGATGATTAATTTAACCCTTTTAGAAGGGAAGATATGGTCATTTGTTCTGGGAATGTCATTTTCGAGCCTGAGACCTGAAAAACAGGCTCAGGGCTTCTTAAGAGGTTAATGATTTATACAAGAATTGTAGTCATAATATTAAAGATTCATTAAGTAAAAAAAGGGGAGAGAAACTCCCACAGGAGGAAACTTTGGGATTTTAGCCTTTGCAGACCATTTACATGCACACAAACCTATATAACACACTACAGGAAAGGGAAAACCCAAAAAGCATAATAGGGCCCATTGATCATGCGTATCTAACTACATAGAAATTATTCAGCATTACTTTTCCTCAAAACTGCAACAGCCAGCAAAAATTCTACATTTCTATCAAAAAAGTCAATCAGAACCCAGAAATCTTCACAAACAATAACAGAAGGAAACGTCAGGTCAACTTAACCAGATTTACGACAGCGACCATAGACCAGCGTTTTTTTTAAGATCATTAGGCGCGTTCACACCGGAGTACTTTTCCCCGTACTTTTCCCGTTTAGTTCCGTTAGTACCCCTTATTTTGCGTTCACACCAAAAAGAGTACTTAGTGCCGGGAACTTTTACCCCCATTTTTAGTCCCTGCTAGAGAGGTGGTACTATCCAGGGGAGAAGAAAGTACCAATTTCTATTGGCTGGGCGAATTGCAAACCACGGCCCGTAAAACTCTGAAAAGTTTTGTATTTGCTGGCATTAGCATTATTAGCATTAGCATTAGCCCTGCACACCAACGGAGAGAGAATAACTTATGGCAACACAAAAAAAAACATGGGAGCGGTGGAGTGATGAGGAAGTGTCGGCGTTCTGGCGATTTACTCGGAAGGCTTCAGTAGAGGCTGCTGGGAGTCTCAGCAGCTTCTACTGAAGCCAGTCCCCAACTCCGGGGACTTCCGGCCGGGGACTTCGGGTGGCAGTATACGCCGTGAAGTGATTTGCGGCCTGCCAGTAAACCCAAAGCAGAAGAAGACAAAGTGACGTCAGCGGCTCATTTGCGTAATCTTCCCTCAGGGATTTTATTCAGGTGTGAACGCGATCTGTACTTAGTTCCATGGGGGTACTAAGTGCTGGGGCACTAAGTGCCGGCACTAAGTACTTGGTGTGAAAGCGGCTATAAATGCGACAATGCTCCTCCCTGAAAACACCTGTGAGATCCCGAACCTCACTGTTCAACAAGACATTTCACTTTGAACAGCATACCACCACAGAAGAGTGTTGTTCATGCAGGAGAACATGCTATTAAAATTGTCAGCTTGTTCTTTATTGTCAGTGCTATTACAGCCTCTCTGAATGTTGCCACACACACATCAGTTCCTCTACACATGATTGCCGTGATGACGTTGTCACTCTGTTGTTTCAAGATGTGGCAGGCAGATAATCAGATAATTGGAAATGTAGATGTGATACCATACACACCATCACAGTATCAGTGAAAATGTCATCACTTCCCCTCACACAGGCTGATGTTACTGTAAGACCGCACTCTGTTCTTAAATACAAGCAAATTGTGTTTTAGTTTTAAATCCCAATTATGCCCCTAACATGCTTTAAATATTTTCTTCGCAAACATTATGTTTGGATGTGTTGCTAACCTGTGATCGCAGTTAAACTTCCCCCTGCTGCAATGCTAATCTTAGCTTAGCATGCTAGCAATAAAGTAGTGCAGGAATGAGTCCTCAAACCCGGAAATGAGTTAGCATTACAGCACTTTTGGTTTGTTTGTCTGAAAGTTATTGTTTTTTTTTATTTGGTTTTCATTAAACGCCTGAAATAAGATCTCTGGTTATCATAAACTCAAGAGAGAGAAGTTTTATTCTACGATTTTATTATATTTTATATCTAAGTTTTATTTATACCCCACTCATGAATGTTCGAATATTCTAAGCGTCATAAAAACGGCAGCTGGTAACAAGTGAATAAATTAGACCACTAAACGTCATCACACCAAACATTAGCCGCCTTTAGCTTAGAGGTTGTGACATTTGATGTAGTTCATTTTAACGTTTATAGCCTATAATAGCTGTTCATCTTTTAGCGATTGCAGTTACGCTTCAACATTAATAAAGTGGTGTTAATAAGTGGAGCTTATCCTGCTGAACAAAGCGTGTACAAATCATACGTGTGTCTTTGCTACAGAGCTCATTTCCTGCAATATTCCAAAAGCCAATGGTAAACTTCCATTTACTTTTTTAAAGTAGCCTATGTGATGCTAACTTCGAGGTTGGCCTACAAAACATTATTGTGAAACATTGTGTAACATACAGTACAACAGATGCTGATGATGATGTCATTAGCTTCGCAGGTATTTGGTCATAAACCAAAGTATTAGACACATGAAAAGATGAAAAGTCAGAGGATCATCAAAGTTATAACAATTGATTCTATGGGCATCAATAATATCAATACTAAAACGGCAATTCTAAAAACTGTCCTCTTGACAACATGTCATGGCTATTCATCCAATGATTGTTGAGAAATATAAGTCAGCATGGCTTAAAATAAGTATACTAACAGCAATGGATACACTTTTTGCTTTTCTGCTGCCGTCTGGCAGGCGTTACCGCAGCATCCGGAATAAGGCTGCAGCCACACGAGGACGATAACAGTTGTATCTGCTACAGTTCTCTATCAGATAGACGGTTCGGCCACACGAGGCCGACATGGAAACACAGAAAACGATAACGATAACGGGTCCCAAGGTGGGTAGATCTGCGGACGAAACGCTCTGGGGGGTCAAACGGCTTCGTGATTACGCCCTATAACGATCATTTCCTGCTAACGATGACGCAATAGCCCCAGTGTTTCGAGCCAGGTCCCGGTATCTCGCAGGACAGTGCACCCAGCAGGAGCTTCCAGCTAGATTTGATCGATATGGACATAAACGCGAGTGAAGTCTAATCGGACAGGAGAGGAGACACGCAGCTCTGCATGATAACCTGCAGCTCCGCCCGCTGTGATGGAGCGATGAGCGGAACAAAACACACACTTCAAGTTAGATCAAGTCACCCTTAGCTATTTTAATTACCTCTCAAACTACCTAAACTAGTTATAAATATGTTTATTTTTACTGTCGGGTCACTCATTACTGGATCAGCCAGCTGCATGAGACCACGGATACTGACGGGCTGTCAGGAGAGGGGGAGGAAAAGAGAGGCTCCGTCCTCCGTGTATTATTCTTATATTATTATATAGAGTCGTTATTCATTTGTTTTAAAGCTCAATAAATAACAAAGAAGACCTTTGACCGGCACTTTTCTAATTTTGTCCGGAAGATTTAAACTTTAACGGACATGTTGACCGGCGAAACCCCACCTCTGCTGCTAAACTTGCCAGATGGGTTTTAAACAAGGACAACATTTGTTTTCAAGCTCAATGATTTTCAGCAAAATCACAGATAAGAAGAGTTGGGAAAATATGAGTTTTCAACTTCTTTTACTAGTTTTTTAATAGTTTTAGGTCGTCAAAGCTGCTTGGGTAGTTTCATTTTCCATATATTTTTTCGTTAGTAATCATTATGTTAATCACCCTTCCTGTAACTTTGAAGCACTGTGACAGCAAAGCAATTAATATGGCACTGCTGGTGCTTGTAGAGAGTGAATGTATTCATCGAGAAACTTTACTACTACTGAACAATTTAGGTTGGTGTGCCTTACGTCAACCTGTTGACCTGAAAAGAGCACCATGTTCATCGAAACTGGTCAGGAAGCTTATCAGTTAACCCAGCTATTCTTTTATTTTTTTCATTTTCACAAGTGCAAAATCAGTGAAGTCATGCACAAGACCAGTTAATGAAAAATGTGTTCCCTTTCTACAAATAGCTGGTGTTTGTTAAGAAAGTGTGTTTAAAGAGGAAATATTATGTTCATTTTCAGGTTGTATTTAGTGCCTCTACTGTGACATGTCTCCATACTTTAGGGTTCAAAAAGCTCTTTATTTTTCTCATACTGCCTGTACCTCTTTTCACCCTCTGTCTGAAACCAGAGTCCAGTCTGCTCTGATTGGTTAGCTGGCAGGCTCTGGTGTGATTGGTCAAGGAGTTAGAAATGTCCCTCCCAATAGCCTATCACATACAATGTGTCGGAGCACTAGCCAATAAAAGCCTGAGTGTTACATAGTGATGTCATTATGTTACGGAAGAAAAGGAAGAGGCGTTTCAGGCAGGTGTGTGGTTATTTGTTCCTGTTTAATATCACAGTTTAAAGATAGCATTAAAAACTATTTCACTTGAATTATGCTGAAAATAAAGAGTTGATTCTGAGTTACTACAACAGCCTTTTGAGCTGTTGATGAGTAATACTACAACAATGTTGAATCATTTATAGAAATCATAATTGTTTTTATCCAATGATCGAGTTGGTATAATAACAAATAAAAAGGTAATGCTTCTGTTTTCCTGTAACGGTGCTGCTCGCAGCCTGTCACTGCAGTACGGAGGCCTCTTGCTCAGCGAGAGACTGCTGTGTCACCTCAAACTCACGAAAGAAATAATGACTCATCACTCTGCTCAGCCCGACTCATAAATATAAAAAACAGCAAGCCATCACAAAAATGCAACAAGGAATACTAAAACACCTTCAACAGAACAGTTCTACAACACAAGACAGACAGCTGGAACTGTGACAGAGGCGTTCAGGAGACTAAACGTGGTCTTCTGTGTGTGCGCTGTTTAAGTGTGTTTATGTGTGTGTTTGTGTGTGTTCATTACAAACCTGCTGCTTGTCCTTCTTGTGTATTTTCATCTTCTATCCCTTCACTGCATCTGTTCACACAAAAGGAAATCATTTGTGTTACTTTCAGAAACGCACACGACACAAACAGCACTGACAATGTTTTGTGTCATTAGACGATGGCACTGAGAGTAACATTTTGTGAAGTTGAATGTTAACTTTCGTCTCCAACTTCCTTTAATGGCACCATTTTTTTAACGCGTTCTGTTTCCTTCATTAAAAAGAAATATATATCCCTTTAAGGTTCATTTAGGACGGATACAAAATGTGTGATTCATTTCTATAATCATGATAAATCACAAGTTTACCATGTACATTGGGTGATTCAATATGTGTTTTGATTGAGAGCCCTTGTTATCAGTAAAGTACACTTCTGCTGTTAACCAACTGAAAAATAAATGAAATGTTCTATTTTAATAACATTTAGAGTTTTGTTCAGATAGTGTGTGTTTAGATAGACTGCAAGTTCATATTTTCACAAATGAGAAAAAAAGCCTTAATATGAAAGCTAATTTACTTTAAGAATCTACTGGGACAGAAGAAAAATATAAGGAGACGTTGGAAAACAACAGGTAGACAGAGTTTCTAATGTGCAGAGTGAAATCCATATCATTTATTGCAATGATAAAAATGTGCGTTATTAGAAATTGTAGAGAAATGACCCATTGTTATAAAAAGAGCATTTGTTAATGTGCCTGCCTTGGTGTTGACGGGGCCTAATTGATTTTGCTAAAGGCCACCACTGTGAAGCTGTGTTTACATGAGAACATTTGACATTTTGCACTTAATTTGGCACTAATTAACATCTACAAGGTACAACAAGCAGAAAATCACTGCTCAATGACACGCTAAGTGTTACAAATGTTCTTTACTCTCAACAGAAGTAGCATATGACCACTGACACCCTAATAAATATGGGAATTATTAGTTTATTCAGCAGGAAACTGAGAGGGGAGGGTGGGCCTTTAATATCTTTCTACACAACAGCAACCTGACAACCAGTTACACAATAACATCACAGCCATAGATCTCTGCATGCTGCAAACGTTTTCACCAAAATATGTTACGTTAACTAACTGCCAAGTTTCACTGAAAAAAAGATTTTTTACCTTTTTGCTAAGATGCACACCAAAAATATAAATGAGTAATTTGATGATTAATCATTAGAAAGCCGTGATCCCAATAGAAAGAACCGGTACAGAAACACATTCAGAAACACTCATTAAAAAAGAAAATGGAACAATATCATCTCCTGGAATATGAGAGCCCTGATTCAGTCTTTCCTCGCAAAAGACATCGAGAAAGATTTTTTCAAAATAATAATGAAGGACAGAGTAAGGGCAGGACAATGAGACAACATTCAAATCACAGGACATTTGTGTTAAAGGTTAAACATGTGTTAAAATACCATATTCAATGAGGTGTTATTGAGGAGCTGCAGAGATATCCTGACCTACAAATCACATTCTACAGACGTAACCAAATATATTTGTTTGGTAAAGATCCTCTTCAAAGACAACGAAGACAACGAAGGTCCTGATGCAATTCTGTAGTCAAAAATAATCGCAATTAGCCATTTTTTGTAAAACACTTAGTGTTAGGGTTAGGGTCAACACCTTTAGCTTTGTCTGACATTTTAGTGGAAACTTTTCTGCTCCAGTGTTTGCTTTTTGCCAGTAAAAGCACAGAAATGTTGAAACAGACTTATTTCACAATAGCTAGAAGAGAACATCTCACACATCTCCACGCTGCATCAGAGAGTCTTTGAGAAACGCAGGTACAGCAGCCCTGCCTTTGGGGTTGGTTTCATGCAGGCATGTGGAGTAGGACCACAGCCAATAGATTTCATTCAACAGCACGGCTCTCTAGGATATTACTGAAACTCATTCAGAAGCACCGCCTAGAGAAAGTTTCTCTCACTTTATGCAAATGAATGAGTTTCCATTACCTGACGCCCAAAAAATGGTTGGCTTAAGCCTTTAGGATGGGAGGTATCCTCTGCACTCCAGGATATTTTAAATATTAAGGGAACACTGGTTAAGCTTTTTTATGATTTAGTGTAAGTCTTATTTTCAGTAGGGTTTCGCTGCATGATTCGGAAAATATAACTTATTGCGTTTATTTTGACACATATTGCAATTGCAATATTATTCACAATATAGCAAGGAATCATCATTTTTAAATCATAATTCTCATTATTTGAAAAAATATGAAATGATTATGGTGTGACCTTTTTAAGAGGATCCGTACCAAAGTAATGATTAGGCCGAGATATCTCTGCAGCTCCAAAATACTTTATTTAAAATTGAATTTAAAACATATTTAGCCTTCAACAAATGTTCCACCTCCTGCATTCTAAAGATTGCATATATCAATCTTCAGTATTCAGATTTCGATACATTTTTTTATTAATTTGGCAGCCCTAAGTAGTTCAAATGTGACTAGGATTAGAGTTTGGAAAAACTCAAGGACATGAGTAAAAGTTTAAACGCAGCCGCTTATCTTACACATCTTTGAAAACCATGATACTCGTATAAATATGGCAGTTGGACTGGAAAGCTTGAATGTGAGAATGATAACCTGGCGTTTCTTGAAAAAAAGAAAAACAAGAGATGAGAGCTCTTAGTGAAAGTCCACCTGAACAATCGAGACAGGGAGTAGTGCATATACACATTACCTGCACCTTTTAACGTCCATTTTCCCGTCTATAAACTTCCCAACACAAAAGATATTTAAATCTGTTAGGACTTCCATTTGTAATACAGTGAAAATAAAAGACTCATTTTAAAACCCATCATTCTGCTAAGTGTGCACTGCGCAGAGGATGTTGGTGGGAGAAACACAGAGAGCATGAACAAATCAGTATTTAGCAGCACTACATCATGCAATATAAATCAAATGTTGTGACTGAAGTGGCATTGGGCAAAACAAATGTTGTAATATACTTGAGAATTAGGTTTAATGTTTCAAATAATTCCTAAGAAAAACCAGCACAGCCATCGCACAGCCATCACACATATTCAACAAGTGAAGCAGGAAAGCTCTAAATCCAGATAACATTAAACATTTGATGTGTCAGACTTGTCTTTATCGGCAGGTTGCTAATTTTAGAGCAATAATTAAGAAAGCTAAGCTCACACACCTGTTTGCCCCCCCCTGAACACAACACCTACAGCTTGTCTGGGGGAGAGTTCTTGCTTATAAGAAACGAGTCAATATTTACAGTTGACGGAGGTCGTCAACTGTAAATATTGAAAAGCCACTTGAGGCACATTTTTTATTTGTAATATTAGACACCACCTCAGAGCCAAGCAGGACATGGTCTCTCACAAATTATACAATTACCTTTACAGTGAAAAGTTCTTAATGGGGAGACTACAACATTTACCAAATTTACCCACAAGAGTAAATGAGAGAAAGTGGATGTTTCGTCCTCAGGGCTTTAAGAAATCAAATTCCAACATTTATACTGGGTTTATTTAGTGTACCCTTATGTGACAGCCGTCCCATCTCAACCTATATTTCAGCTGCTGAGTGATTTGGATGTCAGGAGTAGTAAACCGGTGTAGTGAAGTGAATAAATGCTACACATGAACACTTTTCTTCCAGAACAAAACTACAAATCAACCTCAGTGTCTCTGCTCTGTCACCTCTGAGCAGTGTTATGTAGTCTAATGCCTCTGAATATACAGTATGGTGTGCTTTAAAAAAAGCAGGCAGGGGGGCAGCAGCTAGTTCCACAAGACCATTTAAATATCTATAGGAACTGAACTCTCCAGCATAAAACTGTCTTATTACTACTCCAAAACATTGAAGGTTTATTTCAGAACTCACTGGCTTCGGTTCCGACTGTGATATTAAATAGCATATTAACACAACTCTATTTTCACAATATCTATTACGAAAAAGGACATATTTATATAGGCTATTACTACACACATATACTGGGAATTGGGCTTATCTATGATCAGTTTAAGTTTATTTTTTTGAAAATGCTTTATTCTGCCAAGCTTTCTCAACCAATCCCACATGGAGGAAGATATATTAATTGGTAGCTTATTTTGACTAAATAATGAAGGGTAACGTATCTTAATGTTTGTGAAACTGCAACTAAGAAATGTTTGGTATCATAGGATGGACATTTCACTTTAAAAAAGGCCCTATTATATGTTCTCGGGTTTTCCCTTTCCTGTAGAGTTATATCGGTTTAAGTGCATGTAAATGGTCTGCAGAGGCTAAAATCTGATCATGTAATACTTGTAAATTGTTTTGTTGATCAATTACTCAGCTGTAGTCACATGCTTTTTTGTATTTGAATGTTAACAACTTCAAAATGTTAACAGATCTACATTCTTGGAGTCATTGTAATGTGTAACATGCACTGCCTGGCAACATGTATGTTCTTATTAGAATGTAGAACTTGTTAAGCTTACCTATGGGTGGATATTTGTAATGGCATAATACTCCTGTGCTAGTGTGAAACCTTATTAGACAGATAGATATTACAGATATTTACACTAACATTTCCTTTAAGACCTTGTAAAATTCACAATGCAGCTAAAATAATCTCAATTCTATTTTGCCATTCTTCCATGTGACACAGATCTGATGTTTCCTAATCAGTGAGCAGCTAAATCTGCAGTGAGTCACATGTTTTCCCGTTTTATCTGGACCACAAGGATGTGCGGTACAAAATCCGATCCCGGAGGCATGTGACCTACATGCAACTTCCATGTGGACACTGAACATTTGTATTTGTCTGCATCCATTCCCTCTGACCACAAGAGTGACGGCTAACCGTACGGACGCATATGACAACTTTTCTCAATGGTATTTTATACATGCATGTCCAATTAGCATAATTAGAACCATTGCCGTGTCCTAACATGTCTGGTAGAGCCTGGTTTAATTGGGAGCTGCTAAAAACAGGAACACTGTGCTTTAAGGTTTTCCATTGGAAACCAGGAACAGAACAGAACAGGTGCAACACAGAGCCAGTGCAAAGAAGAAAACTAAGTACATTTTAAGTATT